GTTGAAATACTCCCTGTTAAAATTCCCATATTGGCAGCCTTAACTTCCTGGTTTGCTTCTGTGCATGCACAATTTTCTGAAAATAAAAAAAGTGCCACTGGCCATCCGCTCCACAGGTGCCACACAACAGGCATCTCAATGATCACCAACCAGGGTGAGTGCACGGTGAAGAGGGCAGAGAACTGGATGTCTGATCAAAAATCCCAGTGATTAAAAAACCTGGATCAAAAAAGAGGTGCGGTCACAACACGATAGCACATCATCTGACCGCAACCCTGGAAAAACAGCCGTGAGCGATGATGCAGAGATGAAGGTTTTCAAGGCTTCAACAACCCCTGGTAGAGAATTTTATTATGTTTCAATGTAAGATTATTTTTATGTTTAAGGAATGGCTCAGATTTAGTGAAACCTGATGTAGCAGGTGATGTGAAATGGAGAAGAAGAAAAGCAAATTTGAGGGGATTGATCATGGATATCTGTATGCATTTGTGTTCCTTAATATTCTAGGTCCAGAAGACTTGTACCTTTCAACCAAGCAAGTTCCTGAGGTACAGAGACTCCTGCGTATAAGTGGAACATCCCTGAACCTGCATAGCCTGATTTTGTCAGATCTTGGAAACTAAGCAGGGTTGGCCCTGGCTAGTATTTGGATGAGAGACCTATAAGGAATACCATGGTCATCACACAGAGGCAGGCAATGGCAAACCACCTCTGAACATCTCTTAACCTTGAAAACTCTACAGCATCAGCATAAGTCAACTGTGACTTGATGGCACTTTCCACCACTACCACAAGTAGAACATGCCCACTTGCAAAGGATATTCACATTGTATGTTATTTTCTCTAACACAGGGAATAATCCTGATGTCAAAACAAATGTGTATCCTTTAATGTGAGAATGGCACACAATGGCTCCCTGGAGTGAAGCACACAAAACCTTTTGTACTACCACCCACAAAGGGGGTATACACTTATTCTAAAGGGTTTTTCACATGGAGTGGTTTTTCTTTAACCTTTCTGAGGACACTGTGGTCCATTTGCTGTCTTTGGTTCCCTCGTCATTTCTCCATGCTTTTTCAAACCATCTTTGATATAATTTTGAGAAAGCACACAGGAACAATGAGGAAACCATGGAAAGACAATAGACAACAATGTCTTCAAGAAGCTCGGGGAAAATCCACTACACTTTGGCATCCACACCAAGAGACGACCTCCGTGTGACGAACCCCTAAAAGGAGAATAGAATCCATGCTGTGAAAAAATAAAAAAATGTTTGAATGAATAGGTCCCAAGTTGGAACTGTCTTTGGTTATCCGTCCGTCCATCTGTCCATCTGTCCATCTGTCTCTCTCTCTCTCTCTCTCTCTCCTATAACATACACCCCCATACTAGAGGCTCAGGGCAGCTAAAACATTCAAGAAATACAATCATAGCATTTAAAATGAGATTAAAACAATAAAACAAACACGGTACAGATACAATAACCAATTAGTTCATTACTCCAAGGGGGAGAAAGGAAGGAAGGCGAAGCTAAGTTAAAGAAAAATCATCTGATGTACTGGAAGAAAGAGGCACATTCCAGCCAAGGCTAAGCCCTTGGAGACTACAACCAAGGATTTAACTGGTTAGTTTAATTCAAATTCATACGTGTAAATGATCTCACACACTGCTTTATGGTCTTCACTGCACCTTTAGAGTTCTCAGGTCCCCATACTGCAATGACAGCAGAAGCTACAACTTACAGAATCACCTTGTCATGGTCTAAACATATCAAACCTATTTGCTCCTTGGCCTACACAGCCCTACAAACATATTGCCTCCATTTTGTCCTTGCTTTGATGAGTATGTGGCCCCTCATGGTCACACCCTGTCCTTCTTCCCTTTAGTTCCCAAACAAGCACCTTTTCTGCCCTATAACAGGGGACAGACCCTTCAAAGTGCACTTGTTTGCCTACTTGAGACCTGTGTTTTATAAGAGGCAAAATTCCTGACTGGGACATATGACATATGACCCTTTTTTTAACATACTGGATTTACCACTTGATTCTGCATTCAGCTGAATGCCCGCTGTAAGCTTTAAGGTAAAGGTAAAGGTTCCCTTGCTCGAAAGTCAGTCGAGTCCGACTCTAGGGTTGCGGTGCTCATCTCCGTTTCAAAGCCGAAGAGCCAGCGCTGTCCGAAGACGTTTCCGTGGTCATGTGGCCGGCATGACTAAACACCAAGGTGCACGGAACGCTGTTACCTTCCCACCGAAGTGGTACCTATTTATCTACTTGCAATTTCTTGCTTTCGAACTGCTAGGTTGGCAGGAGCTGGAACTAGAGATGGGAGCTCACTCCGTCATGCGGCACACTCGGGTCTCGAACTGCTGAACTACGGACCTTCCACAGCCTGCAGTTCAGCGTCTTAACCACTTGAGCCACTGCAGCTCCTGCTGTAAGCTTTACATGTATAGAAATCAGTACCACAGATTTTCCATGCATTTGGGGACACAACAAAAAGCAGACTTCCTGATCATATGCAGGAACTTAACACACACAAGCTCACTGCAGACATCTGGCTAAATGGATGGACATCAGGGGCAAGGCAATGACTATAGGGTTAGTCTTACCTCTGCTCCGGGGGGGGGGGGGGATTTGGGGGCCATTCTGGGGGTGGGTGGAAATGTTACATTATGTCCTCAACATGATGACGTCAAGGGGACATCATGCAGGGGATGCTCTGGTATTTGGGCGAAACTCAATGGTTTTTTTGCCCTCAAAACCATAGAGTTTGCCCAAATACCAGAGTGTCCCCACACATCCCCAGCATGATGTCACTTCCAGGTGACATCATTGTGCCAGGGATGGGGCTTCCCTGATGGCCAGGTGGTCCATGGTGGGGAGAAGTCCCCGAAATTGAGGGATCCTCCACTGGGACCTGGGGGCTGGAACCCTAAATGACTATGACTGTTTCCCTTAGAGGTACATACATATTAATGTCTGCCCGGGGCTTTTGTCTCTACCATCCACAGATTTAAGTTTCTGTTTTCTAGACACAACATCTCTTGATCACCCTTCCAAGTACTCCTGCTCTGAGCACCCTTCTGTCCTGTCCTCCATAACATTCAGCATATCCTTTTCTTAACTTCTGTGACGTTTCTTCAGAATCTCCTATCTGATTAGCTTCCTTTTTCTTCACCTCCCTGTCTGGTCTATTTCCTTTCTTCAAGCTTCCTTCTCTTCCATTTTTCCTACCTCCAGGCTGCTATTTCTTTGTCTGCTACTTACTCTGCATCTTCATTCCCGCCCCCGGTACCTCACCTGGGGGAACTGCGATCCCCCGCGATCCCCCCCAAAATGACCTCTGCTCAGATTGTCTCTGTGTGTACAAGAAAACCAACAGCCAAGCTACTACCCCGTTCTTCACAGAAGCTGGACTACAGATTCATTGGTTTCCTGAGCTACTGAATATTCAGTACTTCCACATCAGCTCTGCCGATTCGTATCAGAAACTTCACCACCATTAAAAAAAAAATTATAGTATTTATAGCCTGCATTTCTCACTGGGACTCAAGGAGGATTACACAGAGTAAGTCCATACAATCAACAGGATGGGACATCCAATAGAGCAATGCAGTTGGATTTGGACTGCAGAAATGTGGAACCTACCAGACATCTGAAAATAGAACTGAAGTGGAGCATAAATATTAAAATGACACATTAAATGATGCAGAAGTTACACAGCAGGATCCTCTTTACAGCAACAGGCAGCATGAGCTACACACAGTAGTACAGAACACAGCCCCTAACCCTTTCCCCAAGTATCTTTCTGAGCCATTTTGTTACAATACAGTCCTACTACCTGTGTAGAAATGCTTTCTTGAATAATTCAGTTTTCCAGTTTGCAGAAAGCCAGAGGGCCTCAATAAAATAAAGTTTTAAACAATACACAATGTAAATACAATGTGATATGTGCTGATTTCAGGGAAAAGATGCATGTAACTCCCCTACTGAAATCAAAGTAACTTTAATGGTTAAAAGTGCAAACATCATTAGGTCGTGATCAATGCTCCCTCTAAGCTGAGGAGTCTTGGGAGCAAAGATTCTACTTTGTGAGCTACTGTCATTAAAGCTGTGATTTGGCTACTGCATAAATTAGTTCGCTCTGGAGCCATCCCTCCTGAGCAAAGACAAAAATGTGTGAGCTGGAGGCTATTTAACCTGTGAGCTAGCTCACACTAACTCAGTTTAGAGGGAACACTGGTTGTAATCTAACCAATCAGACCGGATGATAGCTCTGCCTCTTGCGCTTGGGCTAACAGAAGCATTTTAAGATTCCATGCACTGTCACAGTGCAGACATAATGTAGCAGATCCATTCGCTCCCATTAAACAATTGAGAACAGACTATAGGATCACATCTCCATCCACCTGTTTCAGAGAATGATTTGCCTCTACTCAGGCTAACCACCCTTGACTGCTATGTTGAACTTGTAGTCATCAAAGTTAGCTCTAACCAGGGTTATCTTTTGACCTTGAGATCCCAACCAACATTGAGTGGTAGTTTCAGATTCTGGATTAAATAAGAACACTGGTTAGTGCTAGTGGCATCTAACCGCTGGTGCCAGAGTCCAGGGAAATTATAATCTGACATGGAATGGGTAAAAATCTGCACAATCCCACAGCCTAACCTTGGTTAACTCCTAACCTTGCTTAAGCAATCATCAGTCCATCCGTAAGGACAACGAGGAATGTCAGCCTTCAAAATAGGTAGGACTGGAGGTTTGCAATCATTACCTGACTTCTCGGATGTCATGTGTCTTATTACACCTTCTCCTACAGGAGAAATAGATTTACCAACAATAAACAATTTGACAAAAAAGTATGAAGGAGTAAGAAGGAAAGGAAGGCAAAATCCCTTCCACACATATGTTCTTCTTTGGCACTGCATGCAGGTTTTTCATCATATAATGGAGCCGACTGAACACCAAGGAAAATAAAACACAACACTGCCACTTACCCTTACATCTCCATTTACAGCTCTGGGCATGTGATTAAAAGCATGTGCCGGATCTTTGTTGTAAACTTTAAGGAAAGACCTGTCTTGAATGTTCCTAAAATTAAAAAAAAGCAACAATTATACCATATAAAAGAACTTTATTTTATCCCATTTCCTTGGCTGGCACAAAACTAGGTATTTTAAAGGAGACAAAAGATAGTTATACTACCTCTTACTTATCCCCCTGGGAGGTATATTTCTCTAAGGCCAACTCCACACCCATGAAAAGAAGGTAGTTTCCACTTTCATTAAAAAACCTGGGCGTGGAACAAAAACTGTTTGCAAGTAAAACAGCGCTCATGTTTATAATACTTTCCAAAAGAACTTAGTTATTCCTTAAATTCCCTATTCTAGCTACGAAAAAGGAACTATCCTGCCCCCAAATTTGGAAGATGCATCAGCCACAACAAATCATAAACAGATTCCTTTAAAATTTTGCTTAGGAGGGGAAATTTCAAATCTGGGGGAAAACTCAAGAAAAAAAACCCACATTAAAATTGCACATATTCTAGCAGCCCGATCCTATCTATGCTGGTTTACATGGATGTTAGTCTCTGTGAAACATAGTTCTGAGTAAACATTGATGGGAGCAGACAGCAAGTCAATTTAAAACGTATCCAGTGAGGACTGCTTTGTTGATTTTGCACTCCAATATCAAAGTGCAATTTGAAAATTAGCCCAAACAAGTTGGAGTTAGCCCAAACTAGTCTGAAGACAGGCTTGCAATTAACAGAGCTGGTACCTCAACGCAACAGCAATCAAAATGTCAGCTGTTTCTCATGTCATCTCCAGACCTACCTTGCGCACTGTTTATAGATTACAGGTCCACAGTGAACTTTGCTGTTTCCTTCTTCAGCAATAATCAGCAACAGAGGCTGCAATCTAAATCCACTTAGGTCCTCTCAAAAGTGCGATGCCTTTCACTGAACACCAGCAACGGCCCAAGAATTTGCACACAAGACTGAATTCCTTCGCTCCAGGTGCAGCTATGAGTTTAGTAGGCTGATCTTAATCACTGGGATTATCGTTTGGGAAAAAAAATACACGAGGCGCAGGATTTTTTTTTGGACAGATCATGTTTCTTTTAAAGTCACACGGCGGTTGGTAATTGCTTTGAATCTGCAACTAGTTAAAACTTGCCGCTCTGCTCTAGACTTCAAGCAGCTCTGTCAAGAAAAGCAGATCACCTGACAAGACAGATCCCTCCCAGCTGCTAAGAAACATGGGTTAATTAGATGCTTAGTGTTAATGAGAGTTGGCCTGGAAGGGAAGCCATGAGAAAAACGCATGTCCGTGGGCAAGTTAAGTTTGTTAGAACTTCGTCTACAAGGAAGAGTTCACACATCCCAACTCTTGGGCACTTAGTGTTGCATAATCATGGATCACTCCATTTTAGGCTTTTCCACTCTGTAGCTCTACTGCTGTGGAATAAGCTCCCTTTAGACTGGGGTCCCTAACAAGGTTCCCTCCAAGCTGTGGAATCCTGTGAGCAAAAATTCTACTTGGTGAGCTCCTGGCATTAAAGTTGTGAGTGAGCGATTTGGCTGCTGCATGAATTAGTTTGCTCTGACGCCCTCCTTCCTGAGCTAAGACAAAAATCTGTGAGCTGGAGGCTAAAAAACTGTGAGCTAGCTCACACTAACTCAGCTTAGAGGGAACACTGGACTCCCTAACATAGTGCCCATGGGCACCAGGGCATCCTCCAACACCTTTCCTGGCACCCACCAAGTGTTCCCAGCAAGGCTTCTAACTGGCCATTGGAGATCTGACTGACTGTGCAGCAGCTGCCACCACAGCACACAGGTCTTCACGGTGCGACTGAAGGTAAGCCGTGGTGGCCATTTTGTGGCTGAGACCACCGTATTATGTCAGAAGTCGAGAGGTGCCCACAGGCTCAAGAAGTTCAGGGACCCCTGCTCTAGAGATTCATAGGATCTCATCATTATTGGTTTTTAGAAAGGAAGATTTTTTGTTTCACAGGGTACTGTCCTGAAATTTCTGTGTATATGAGCGATCGGTATGTTTTGTGACCTGGCAAGTTTTACATAAGATGATTCTAAAGATCTACAGTTTGCCACCTTGGGGTCTCGTTAGGAAAGGCATGACAGAAATGTTTCAGAATAAACCTATGCAAGCAGTGGAGTGAGGTGGTCAAGCCCTGAGGTGTCTACTGTTTCAGAATGTGTGTGTGTGTGTGGGGGGGGATCTACTAGCATGTATTCTACCGCTCCACTGGCCCAAGCCCAAAGTCTTCCTCCTGTCTCAGGAGTTTCCCCCGGCTTAAGTGTCTCTTCCATTAAGTTGGAAGTAGGCTCCTTAGGCTGGAGGAAACTCCCCCAGCTAAAGGAAGGATAAACACCACTATTTTTGAATAGTATTCCATGTAAAAACACGTCTTGCAATTAGAAAAAAGTAGCACATCCAGGAAAGAGGTGAGAAAGTCTAGAACCCTTCTCTACTGTCCTTAAAAAAAAAAAAAACCTTGTAGGGATGACTTCATCTGTATGCATTCAGAAAGATTTCCCAAGATCAATCAAAACAAAATGTTCACCTGAGGGAATTCGTTGCTGCTTCCTTCTGGTCCCGTTGGCAAAATAGCAACCTTGTGTTATGTTTACTTCCCTCAGCAGCACCTTCATGGCCCAGAAAGGAGATAATGCTAAGGTGGACAGTAATCAAGGTGGAGCCATCATGCAGTGGTAAGTGTGCATTCTTTAGCATGCATGAGGTCCCATGTTCAATTCATGTTAAAAGCCACCTGTGGCAGCAGGTCTGGGAAAGACTTTGGCCCAAAGCCTTCAAGTGCTGCCACTAAACAGACTAGACATTGGGTGATATGGACAAACTGAATGGCTCAGTAAAGGCACCTTTGCATGTTCATATACTGACACACCCAACACTGGACTTTCCTTCTCAGCTGTCAATAGAACAGCATGGTATGGAAGAACTGGCTGATAAAAATCAGTGGCCACACAGCACGTGATGAAAGGTACAGCCCCATAAAACTTTCTGAACAGGCTGTTATTTTATTTATGGTAACTGAAATGGCTACGATCATTTGCTTTTGGTAACTTGTCAGAATAAAGAATTGGGATGCTAATTATTAAACATGCCCATCGCCCAGAAGTCATGGACAGATATTATGTTATCACTTATTCTCTTCTTTTCACATCAGAGGCTTTCAGGACTCTCACACCAAATGTCCAATCTTGTTTTCTAAGATAGCGCAAGAAGATAAGCTTGCAGTGCAATCCTTAACAGTGTCACACCATTCTAAATCTATTGAAATCAACTGGATTAAAAGGTTGTAGCTCTCTGTTTAGGATTGTACTACTGTATGCACAATTATTTGCAAGGAGAGTTACTCAGAAGTAAGTTCCACTGATTTCAACAGTATTTATCTTGCCTAGCAAGTATTCTTACAATGAAAGCTTAGAGGTGTTGCATTAATTGTCAATTATAATCCTGTTATTAAAAGGGCTTCCTGTTTCATCTGTGTACAGAAGGCTTGGAGTATTTTTTCCCTAAGGCTGTCCCGGGAAGGTCATGCCCAAGGAGTACAGAGCTCTTGTGTCCCAAATTAACCTTCTACTCACTATTTCAGATTATCTGATATGCTCTGCTGAGAACAATTTATTGGTGACCCCTGGCCCAAAAGGCTGTCCTTGACCACAGCCAGGACTTTTTCAGCCCTGGCTCCTACCTGGTGGAACTCTCTGCCAAATGACACCTGTGTCCTGTGGGACCTGATGCAGTTCTGCAGGGCCTGTAAGGCAGAGATGTTCTGCCAGGCTTTTGGTTGAGGACAGCGACGGGCACCATCCGGCTGGCACTCCCCTCCCCTCCCCTTCCCCCCCTTTTTTGCTTCCTCCCACCTCTCCCACATGGTGATGACACATTCTGAAATCTGATGTATTAGCGCCATCCGATAATTGTTTTAACACATTTATTTAAATAGTTGGAAGTGTTTTATTATAATATGTATTTTATGTATTTTTATTGTTGTTTATTGTTGTTTGTTGTTTATTGTTGTTTATCGCTCAGAGTCCTGAGTACTCAGGGACTGGGTGATCCATACATCTAAATTATAAATAAATAATGGTAATATATAAAAACTAGAAGTTGTACTACTGGTATTAAAATATTGATTGCCTTTTCTTTTAACGCAACTTCCTAAAATAGGAAAAGGAAAACAGTCCTTGTTGCATAGGTCAGCAGTACCTCTAACAATCCTTTCAAACTACCTGTGCTCTCTTCTCAGGAGAATGTCCTAACAGCTGTCAGGGAACAGTTACAATATCACCACTATTATTTACTATTAAGTTAGGGCCCAGGGAATTAAGAATATTTTGTAACCTGAACTGATTCTTGGTCCACTTCACTGTAGCAGTGGGAAGAAGTACAAGCATTCTCAAGCTTTGTGTTCCTCTGCATCACCATATCATTCAAAACAACATCTTTCCAGTCTTCCCCGCCAAGTAAATGCTGAAGCTTTTTTCTTATATTGGGAAATTCGACATGAGAGCAGGGCAGATGAGAAATTACATTTTGCCAAGTAGCTGGTCTTTCATTCTGTTGCTCATGTCGGTGCACTGTTTACATTTTTGCTGGAAGCCACCTTAGGACTTGTACAGCTGAGAGTGTGGGATGTATGGGCTTTAATTCACAATACATAAAAATAATTTTTAACAATATGGAGATGTAAAAGAACAGAACAGGGGCTCCCTATTCTTCTAGGATTATCAATAGACCTGGAGAAAAATGTCCTGTCCCTTTAACAGAGGCTTAATGGGAGGAAATGGGCAGCTGAATCTTTTCATGGCATGGGGGTAAATCACAGCCTCTGGTAAATGACATACCATTAAACCTCTATTCAAAGGACAGGACATTCCCCCCCTCCATGCAGTTGCCAACCCCACGTCCCACCCACTTCAACATCAATGAAATTTCCACAGTACTGATTTGCTTTATTTTTTAATGTTTCCATCGAAGAGCACTGAATTCATAAAATAAGCAAACCCAAACAAAGCTGTACATATTTTCACCTACCTTACATCATTTAACTCATAATAGATATTTCTGCTCTCATCCTTGATGTATATGGCCACACTGGGGGACTCCAGCATTTTCATGGTCAGCTGCTGTGGAAAGGCACTTACAAAGAGGGCGCGGATGGTGTCTGTGCTTGTGATCTCATTGGGCATCTTTAGTTGCTTAGTTTCATCTCCATACTGAAGATATAAAATGCCTACAAGAAAAATACCACCACCCCCAATTAGTTAAAATGAATAAAAGAATAAAATGAATACAACTCAACGTTAGACACCATTTAAAGGTCTGATTTAGAGAAGATAAGGTCTACCTGTATAATAGCACTACTGTATATATAGACCCTTACCATCCTAATTCAATATAGTCAGGGCAGTTTAATTTTTCACATCAGAAAGACTGCTTTTTCACCCAGATCAAAACATGTGCAAACACCAATATCTGTTAAAGAACTCTCAAGATTTAAGAACTTATAGAATATTTACAGCACCACACTAAACAGAGTTGCACCCTTCTAAGCCCATAGACTTCAATGGACTGGGTATAGCTCTGTTACAGATTGCTCTGATAAAATATGATATTTCTGCCATTATGGTTGCACTTAAACTGAGGCATTGTTTTTCTTCATTCATCTGGAATACAGAAAGGTAATTCCACATGGGGATATGTTGCTGTCCCTCCATAAGCAATTCTCTGATAAATATTTATTCAAGAGTTAAGTTCTGTTCATCAAAGATCACACTTCTCTTTGCAATTGCCCATTTAAATTTTCTTCTTTGCTTCAAATATTTCTGCTCACCACCTTAATTAGTTGTTTCCTGTACACTAGTGTGGCCATAGCATTTTTGAACCAGCCGTCAGCTGCTGAATTGTTGTTCCTTGCAAGGAAGGAAGTTACAGTGTCATCCTAAACAGAGCTAAATCCTTCTAAGTCCATTGAAGGCACTTGGCTTAGAGGGGTGTAAGTCTTCTTAGGACAGCATTATTATTCTTTGCAGTAAAAGCAACTGCTCATTGTTTTCTTTTAAAAATCATGATTGCAATCATACAATTGTAAACATGAAAAAACCACACTATTCTGCCTCCTGCACCTACAAAAGAGTGACCTTAACAGGGTCATCCTAAGCAGAACTACCCTCCTGACAGCACGCTAAAATCAATAGGCTTACAAAGTACATGTTAAGGGAAACCACATCTCCCACAACCTAGATTTTTCCAGTAACTTGTAGTTGAAAATAATTTGTGTAATGAACTTAACTATCACATTCTGAGATTAGATAGGTGGCAACTAGGGGTGTGCAAGGGGGGAAATTGTCATCCCCCCCCCCATTCAGGAATAAAAGAGATCAGTTTATTCAGCATTCCTGAATATTTCTGAATACCAGTATCAGCATTGTATTTGGATTTGGAAAATATTCGGTAATACCGAATATATTCAGCTCCATTGTACCCTATGGACTCTTTGGGTGCCCACAGAATTGGACCCCCCCGGTCCAATCTTTTTGAAACTTGGGAGTTCTTTTGGGGAGAGGCTCCAGCAGCTAGACTGCAAATTTGGTGCCTCTACCTCAAACACCCCCCTCCCAACCACTTAAATGAAACCTTAAGAGATTTCCCATTGACTATAATGGCCCTATAGGGTATAATGGAGTCAAATAGTATTCGAGAATCTCTAATCAGCTACTGAATAGATGCTCTGATTTGGTATTCGACTTAATAAATAACTGAAAAATGCCAAAAAGGCATTATTCGGGTATTTATTCGGCTCGGTAAATACCGAATACACACCCCTAGTGGCAACAAAGGAGAAGACCTTCTCAGTCATTGCAACAGACTCTGGAACTCTCTCTTCAGGGAGACTCATCTGTCCCCTTCTGTTGCCACCTTCTGCCAGCAGGGAAAGACTTTTTGTTTTGTCTGGCATTCCCTCACTGATTCTGCCCTACGTTTTAATTGTTTTTGAGGTTTTTGTATGTGTATTCTATTTTTTATTTTAATTGCTTTAATGATGTGTTTTAATTTGGTTTTTACAGTGTTTTTATTATATACGTTTTTAATCTGTTATCCATTTTAGTGGCCCTGATAAGGGCAGAAAGACGGGGCATGAATTCTGTAAATAAATAAGTAAATAAATCTGTATGCTTCCCTCTCTCGTGGAACACTTTATCTCCCAAATACCATATGGGTTGGGTTAGGTTAGGTTATGAATGGGTGACTGCCCCAAATTCACCAGATAAAGTTCATTGACTGGAGCCTTGAACCCCAGTCTGTTCACCATACAAACAATGAAGCATGACGGAAAGGAGAAATGCACATATACTGACATCCAGGCACGTGTTCTGCACATTAACAGAGAACCACTTAGCAAGAGTCACAGCAAAAGCCGAGCCAGACATCAGGCTACTGGAAAACACAGAAACAGCGCTATGTCCTTTATCTACAAGACAAGGATCCTACTTTTTGTAACAATTAACACTTCTGATAATGCAGTATAAGTTCCATGGTATACAGCCAGTTCCATGGTATACAGCCAGTGTGGTGTAACAGTTAAGAGTGGCAGACTCTAATCTGGAGAACTACTCCTCTAATCTCGAGAACCACTCCTCCACATGAAGCCTGCTGGGTGACCTTGGGCCAGTCACCGTTCTCACAGAACTCTCTCAGCCCCGCCTCCCTCACAAGATGCCTGATGAGGGGAGAGGAAGGGAAGACTATTGTAAGCTGCTTTGAGACTCCTTATGGTAGAGAAAAGCAGGGAGTAAAAACCAACTCTTCTACTATTGCTGGCCTCAGCACTGGTATTTCCAACAACACAACGCACACTTTCAGAGCTTGGTGTTGAGGTCACCTGCTTGATCTTTGTGGTATTTTTAGTCTGGGCCATAAGCATTATTTCCCATCAGTCACTCTTACCAGATGATATATAGCCCTCATTCTTAAAAGAAAAGTGGCAATATTTCTGTCTAACTCATCTTCTAGCAGGTTCTCTTGAATGCGCACACACACACATATATGCAAAACAGACAACAGGCAAGCTTAAATTGCTGGCCCAACATAATTTTTGTTCTGCTGGACAGAACATATATATGGCAGTTTTGTTGAGGTTTTGTTTACTTCGATGATGAAATCAAAGATGTTCTATCAAATGCCTGGATGAAAGCCAAGGGTAAGATGGACATTCACAGTAGAAGGGGCAAGAATGCAAGCCAGACAGCTCAACCCTATGCCTGTTAACTCAAAAGTAAGTTCCAATATGTTCAGCATTCATGTCCCTAGCACATGTAGATAGAATGACAATTCTATGTCATTCATGTCCCTAGCACATGTAGATAGAATGACAATTCAAGTTTCTTCAGGTCACTGTCTGTGACAGGCTGGGGCTATGCCTCAGTGGTAGAGCATCAGCTTTGTGCACAGAACTTATGGGCATCTCCATCTAGAAGGATCAGGTGGTAGGTGATGTGAAAGAGCCTTGAGAACCACTGCAAGTCAATGCAGGCAATGCTCACCTAGGAAGATCTTATGCCATGATAACTAAAGGGAAGCTCTGCATCTGAACACCTGTGCTGGGAAGCAACATCAGGGAGAAGCCTGGGCCTCTGTGCCCTGCTCCCCCCCCCCCGAAGGGCAACTGGGTGGCTGTTGTGTGAAAAACAAGATGCCAGACTAGGCAGACCACTGGTCAGATCCAGCATGGCTCTTCTTATGTTCATAGATCTACTGCTCACAATTGCACTCTGAAACCAGCTCTTAACCTCTAACCCAGCAAGAAAATGAACAAATGGACAAGACCAAATATGTCTACCAGTGAGTTTCCATGTACTTTATTAGAAAAAGAAGAGGAGGAGATTGGATTTATACCCTGCCCTTTACTACCTGAAGGAGTCTCAGAGTGGCTTACAATCTCCTTTCCCTTCCCCTCCCCACAACAGATACCCTGTGAGGTAGGTGAGGCTGAGGGAGCTCTTTCAAGAACTGCTTGTGATAGAACAGCTCTGAGAGAGCCATGACTGATCCAAGGCCATGCTAGCAGCTGCATGTGGAGAAGTGGGGATTCAAACCCAGTTCTCCCAGATTCTCTCCACATTCCTAACCAATACATCAAACTGGCTCTCAGTCAGCAATATATCCTTTTATTGGCTGATCTACCAAGAGTAATCTCAGGGGCCCAGGCAAAGATTCCATCAACTGGCCACATCACATTTGGCCCTCACATGCAGAACAGAACAGACAAGGTGCTCCATTAGAACAGGGGTGCTACTACTGCCCCTCACGGGCACCTTGGTCAGCTCCCTAGACCCCTGGAATTTTGTACCCCATAGACCTACCCCCTCCTATGGCCCTATTACTAGGAGAACACTGAGGGTCATCCAATACTGACCCCTGAATAGCTATATTATGCACTGTTGTATGAGAATCACTGAGATAGCTGGTTTGGCCTAGTGACTGATGGCCAAGCAACATATTACACTGTAGTCACCTGAAACATTTGTTTGGCAGCCTTTCTACATTGATTTGGCAGTCCTTTCTCCACTGAAAGCTTGGGGGGGGGGCTTGACAGGGGGTGCTTAACCCCTTTCTCTGACAGCTCCTTCCTCTCAAACCTTCCCCTCAAGTTGCTGCCCCCCAAGTTTACTGCCACCTACCATGTTTACTGCACACCTGCCTCTGAAACACTGCGGGATGAAAAAGAGCTGGGGAAAAGGAAGTCAGGGGAAGCTGCTGGTGGAAAATGGTTACGTATTCCTGCCTTCTCCACTGCAATTGGCAATGGAACATTATTTAATCTTATTTAATCCGTTCTCCCAGCCGTCGGGAGGTGGAAGCAGGCTTTATTCAGCCATCTCTTTGAATATCCTCCAGGCCCCCAGTAGGGGTCAGCCATGACTTCCAGGTGCACACACACTAACATGCACATATAAAAAATACCAAAAATACAAAAAAAGAAAAAGAAACTGACAACAACTGAATAAAAGTTACCATAAGTGCATCACTTCTTGCCCATTTCAGACCACACACACACACACACACACACACACAAAATCTGCAGGGACAATAACAAAAATACCGGGGAAATAATACTGACCTACTTCATAGGGTTGCAAAAGATTACGGTGATTATGTATGTGAAGGGCTTTGTATGATTAAAGCTCTGCATCATGGAATTATTAGCTGCCATGGTGTCTCACAACATAAGGG